TTCTGCCCGCATCCGGACCTCCACCCGCATCTGTACCTCTGCCCACCTCCACACCCTCTGGACCTCTGCCACTCCTGGTTGCCCTCCACACCCTGTGGTCAGGCCAACACTCCCCTCCAACCTTGCTGGCCATCATGCTGCCCTTGTTTGTGACGGCACTGACGGACCACCCTCTGTTGCGGACTTGTCAGCACCGCGCTGATTTCCATGTCCCTTCACGGACTTGTGTCAGCACCGCACCGACCCCGCTTATTTGTGGACTTGTATCGGCGCTGCACGCTGACCTCTGCTTTTCTCTGGCCATCTTGTCACTCAGCAGCATACCATTCATTCCTTGCCGAGTGCCTATATTGTTCATCCATTCATTCACTTAACTTGCCAATATTGGCACTTGATCCATGTGCTGATGCACTTCTTATTACCTGTCAATATTGGCACTTGATCCGCTTTTGTTTAGTTCATTGCCTCCCATTTCCCGGGCTCTTGTCCTTCATTCAGTTTGACAATCCCCGCTTATTTCCGTGCCGGACCAACCGGTCCTTCTGTGTTTCCTGTCAGGGCATACACCCTGACCTAGCCCATACCCGCATCCACACCTGCACTCGCACCTGCACCCGCGACTGCACCCGGCTGCTGCACTTCCCACGCACGCCCTGTGCCAGATGCTCAGTGCAGCCGGATGGCCCGGACCTCGGGTCTCGGGTCTCATGTGACTTCCGGATATCTCCGGAAGTTTTCGATGTATTGTGGCCACTGTGGGAAGATGAGAAGTTAACTTCCTTCTCATCTCTGACCCACAGTAGATTGTGCCCTGGATAGGGCTGGCCAGACCTGAGGCTGTGGGCCATAGGGGAGGGTCATGGGGACCCGGGAGTCGTCCCCTGACATTTCCCTCCTGCCTATTTATATCCTGTAAATACTTTCGGGACCTTAGTCTGAAATCAACTAGAGTACCCCCCCTGTCTGGTCTGAGTCTCTCCTTCTGCAAAGGGGGCTTCCCCCCCTCTGAGTCCGTGCTCGCGGAGTCCACGCTCCTCCTACAGGTTCGCTCCACCTGCAAGTCTTGTTTGAAGTCCGCTGTGAGTGTCAATCCGTAAATATGGGATCTCCCCCAAACATCAAGCTCAGGGCACAGCGCTCCACCTGAGTCACTGAGGCCGCGATCCCAATCTGCTAACCTTGAACAGTGCTTCCGGACAGCCCGCATATCCGCATGTGCGCTCCAACAGACCTCTGCATCACCTTCGACCTCAACTCAGACAGAACCCAATCTGCCTTCTATCCACCTTCTGACAGTGTTCCAACTCTGCCACAATCTCCGACTCCGACAATAATCCAGTCTCTGACAATAATCTCCAGATTCTGACAATCTCAATCACTCACAAAACTATAAGTTAGTTTACAACGGTAAGACACACGACAATGACTTCACAGGGTACTCCGACTCCGATTGGGCTGGTGACCCATGCGATCATCAATCAATTTCCGGGTTCGTGTTCAAGATCGCAGGAGCCGCTGTCTCATGGAGCTCGAAGAAACAATCCTCAATGGCACTTTCGAGTACAGAGGGAGAATATATGGCATTGACACATGCTTCTAAAGAGGCCATATGGATACAACAATTTCTTGGTGATGTCCTTAGTCCACCTTCCATCCCACACACCATTCTCAGCGACAACCAAGGCGCTCTTGCCTTAGCTGCCAATCCCACTTTCCATGCTCACACTAAACACATCCACGTTAGACAACATTTCATCCGAGAGTGCATGGACAACGGTGACGTCAAACTCGACTACGTACCAACAGGTGACCAGGTGGCCGACGTCCTCACTAAGGGACTCGCGCTGGCCAAACATGACAAGTTCACAAAAGGGATGGGCATCATCGATGTTAATCATTGTTGAGTGGGCGTATTAGAATACCAACCTTGTTTACATCGGGTAGTTGTGTAGCGGTTATTCGTAGCGGTCATTCTGGGGCGCTTTGAGGCATTGGGGGCGTTTTGCCCCTCTTATTCAACTTAAAACTCCCTTTGTATGACGACGTTGCCACTCAGGAATGTCGTGTATATAAGGGAGGAATTTCTTAGTCTTTTCTCCCTCAGATCTCTTATTCGAGTCTGAGGTGAGAACCATTCTATATCTCCTATTATAACTCATGTATACTGTACCCACGTGACCAACTACTGGTCACGTGTCACGCTGGCCTCCCAGTCTGGCCGAAATGACGGTCATGTCACGCATCACGCTGGGGGTGTGGTTGAACAGCCCATGTCACGCAAATTCCTTGGTGGTGGCTCAGTGGCTATGCAACTATATTTCAAATGCCCTTTTTAGTCATATTTATATTAGAAGTGAAAAATCTTCATCTCCTCCTCCAAATTGCATGTCTGCCTCGCTCACATTCCACAGCCAAGATCCAAGCTGAGGCTAGAGGAAGGGAGCGTGGTTATATCATCAAGGGTGCCGGAATTACTGGGAGATGCAGATAAATTTGTTTGGATGATGGGAGTTTGAACCGGAGAAACCCAGCGACGGACAGGGTGTGTCTGGGAAAGTAGGATCCGATAAGTGCATTTGGGATACCGCTGTACAGGATGGGCTCATCTGTATAAGAGCAGATATGTTGCGCAAGAGCAAAACTTAGGTGCAAAGAAATTTTAAAGGGAAACTCATTTTCAAATTAATCACATTTATTCTGGCTACCAAACGTGACCATCAGCATGTTGGTTTCCTTTTGGATCATGCTCCCACGGTCAAGGTCACGCGCCTGCCGGTCGGGTTGTCATGCATCAAAATGAGCTCCCGGTTCATCACCTGGCAGAAATTTTGTGTCACGCTTGGGATGCACTGGTAGTTGGTCACGTGGGTACAGTAACTCTTGTCACAGTCTTACGTGACATAGGTATTTACAACTTAGATCTCTTATTCGAGTCTGAGTCTTACACGACATAGTCACTATTCTAATAACAAGCCCACCATGGCTAATGTTGTACACTCTGCACTGCTACCTTGAGTCTAACATGGCGAACACACTCCACATCCGTTTGTAAACCGTGCCCATTCTTCATAACGTTGTACGCTCCTGGAGTACTGCACAATTCAAAGGTTTTGCGGAGTGTGAAACATGATGATAAAAGAAGCCCCATGTACCCACCTTTTTACGACTGTCTGAGTCGTCATTGAGGGGCGATGTCAGAGACGGGATTATTGTCGGAGTCGGAAGTACTGTCAGAGTCTGGAATATTGTCAGAGTGAGGAATATTGTCAGAGCCAGGCAGACCGTCAGAAGTCGGACTGAAGACGGAATGGGTTTCTGTCTGAGTCGGGGTCGGAGTTGATGCAGAGGTCTGTTGGAGCGTGCGCGCGGATATGCGGGCGGAAATGTGCGGCGTGTCCGGAAGCGCTGTTCAAGGTTAGCAGAGTGGGATCGCGGCCTCAGCGACTCAGGTGGAGCGCTGTGCCCTGAGCTTGACGTTTGGGGGAGATCCCGTATTTATGGATTGACACTCACAGCGGACTTCAAACAAGACTTGCGGGCGGAGCGGACCTATAGGAGGAGCACGGACTCAGAGGGGGGGAAGCCCCCTTTGCAGAAGGAGGGACTCAGACCAGACAGGGGGGTACTCTAGTTGATTTCAGACTGAGGTCCCCAAAAGTATTTACAAGGTGTATAAATAGGCAAGAGGGAATATAGAAAGGCCGGTCAGTCTGGTGCGGTCCGGCGTGGAGATAAGCGGGGATTGTCAAACTAAATAAGGACAAGAGCCCGGGAACTGGAAACGAGGAACAGATCAATAAACAATAAGTGGCAAGGGTTATTGATGAATAACTGAATGAGATCAATAACCTAGTGCCAATAAAGAGGGGATCAAATGCCAATATTGGCAGGGAAGCAAACAATAAATGGCACTCGGCAAAGAATGAATGATAAGCTGCCAAGTGACAAATGGCCAGAGGAAAAGCGGAGGTCAGCGCACGGCGCCGATACAAGTCCGCAAATAAGCGGGGTCGGTGCGGTGCCAACACAAGTCCGCGAACAGAGGTTGATCTGCCAGCACTGTCACACAAGGACAGCATGAAGGCCAACAGAGGTACAGAGGTGTTGACCTGACCAGAGGTGTCAAGGGCAACCAGAAGTGGCCAGAAGGTGCAGAGATGGGCAGAGGGTGCGGAGTGGGCAGAGGGTGCGGAATGCACGGAAGCGGGGCATGGCTGTGACCACATAGCGGGAAGTGATGAGTGTGGTTCGGATGGAGACAAGGCAGGCATGACTGAATGCCGGGGGCGCCAGGGGCTCAGGGACTGGGGGTGGGGTCGGAATACCGGCAGGGTCTAGGTTCTGATTACTGGCCAAGTCTCACGCAGTAGGGCAGGGGGGCCAGACATGGGGTTGGGGGCTGGTTAGGATGGGTTTCGGGTCGGCAGATTCGCCTATCGGCATTGATTCGCCGCTGACGGAGCCCCAGGATTTGTCGGTCGTGACAGGCGAGATTTTCATCTGATGTGAGGTCATGTCAAGCCCTGAAAGTGCGCTCTAAAGCCATGGAATGATATAGGTATATACGAGGAATGACGCTGGGTGCCCGGCTAGCCAATGAGAGAGCAAGAACGTGCTTCAATGCACTGTTGAGACTCTGTACATTGAACGATTCCAGGAGGTTGTGTCGTCGCAATCATTGGGTAAGTGTGTCAACCAAGGTATAACCTGGTCGTTACGTGACGTGTCAAATGAAAGAAAACACAGTCAAAGTGTCAATGAGCACGGGTGTCACTAATCCAATAGTAGTTGGATGGAAGGTAAAAAACTTGGCCGCATTCATCGTGAACAAATCGATGTCAAAACATACCACTTAGCCGAAAGAAAGCCGATCTGTTCTGAACACGCACAGGAGACTCTCCAACACCGATTAAAGTCAATCGAATTCCATCTCGGATCCGTCATAACTCGAGGTCAAGGCTAAAACCTTAAATCCAATCAGAGAGCGAGAAAACGGTGGTCCAGCTGAAAAAAAGAACACAGCCGTAGGTTCGCCTGATCTTGTTGGGATAGCTAGCTGGGGTCGACCAGTTGATTCTGCATAAATGGGGCCATGGAATCTGCCGCAGGGCTTTCCATTAGGCGCGCCATGGAACAAACTGCGCCTCGTGGCGATCGCATGGCTGTGAACTACGCAGCCCTCGCCTGTCCTCAGTTGCGCGTCAAATCTCTCCTCCCCATCCATCAATCCGCCCGTTACCATCATGTCGCTGAGGCCAAAGGCCCGTGCTCTCCTTGCCGCGGGAGGTGATGTGGCAGTCCCAGTTTTCACCGCCGTTCGTGCTACGTCCAATGTGCTCCCTCCCTTATATGCTGCCGCCGGGGGCGCAGTCTTTATCATCGAGGAGGTCAAAGTCTGTAATATTTTTACTGGGTCAGGAACGGTCTGCATTGTGTAGAAGTCCAATGAGAATAAGGAAGAATGGGAGTGTTTTGGAAATTATATCGCTAACGCCGTAGCCAGGGTAGCAGCAGCCATGGATTCATATGATGCGTCCAGCGAAGAGGTCAAGCCATGGGTGGAAAACATCACGAAACTGGACAAGTAACTAGCATTTGCTTTAGACCTTGCCGTCGTATAACATGGGTATTTCCTAGGGCGTTATGCTTCAGTGTCCTGTCCTAGTTGCATGGGTCTAATAAATTATTTCTTGGACACACACCGAATTTGAATCGAGATTCCCTCGCTTTCCGAATCGTTCGATGGCTCTGCCACATATCTAGCATGTTGCTTTTGTTCAGTTGGCCAAATTTGAAGTCATATCCAGGCAAACGCCCCTCTCGATCCCCTTCATAATTTTGTCTGAGCATTGCGCGCTATCTTGGTTTTATTTTCCTTTCTTTACGATCTGTCCAACAATTAGTTGCAGCGAAATCCGCGAGAAAGTGCAAGACTGGGCGGAACAACGCGAGCAAGTACTCTGGTCTGAAGTTTGTAGGAAGTGATAAGAATTATCGGTTTATTTTTATTGCTACTCTCGGGTTCTTGCGGTCCCTGAATTTGAGTATCGAGCTTCGTTCATATTTTATCCGCCATTTCATGTCTTCTGTTTTCCCGTCGCTCTGATGGAAATTAGCTCCAGAATGACCGCCTATCTCATATATGAACTCTGCAGCCAAAGTCCCTTTCCCTCATCAAACGCCAATTATTGATGAATCGATCGATGACAGGTTTGAAGAGGTGTGGAGGGGCTCTACGACGGTTAGTAGTTAAAGTGCGTTGGACACGCAAAGTCTTTCCCCTATCCTCCTCACGACTACCGACCAGCACTCAGTGAAGCCTCTGACCATCCGTAGCCATTGAATTGCATGCCAACATGCGGCGCGGGAAGCTTAGACAACCGAGGCTCGGTCACCATGAAACTAATTGGAGAAGTCGACATTTCCGGACCGGACTGCCGAATCAGAATGTCCCTTCGAGGCACCCCGAACACACAAGTATTATCTTTCGAGGCCGAGGCTAGATGACTAGAACCCCTGCAGCTTCTGGCAAGCCCCAGTAATTGTTGGCTGCTGCAAGATCAGCGTTAGATCGATCTGCAGAAGTACCCCTATGTTGACACGCAAGACAATAACCATGGTCCACCATAATGAAATAAGTGATCCAGTCAAGAAGGAATCTGCACTGTAGCAATTACCGTCTGACTCCAAACTCGTCGTTGTGGGAATACCACACCCAAACTGCATCTAAATTCGGGGTGTGTGTCTTTCTATTGCTGGAAGGATCAACACAGATGAGCATTGGGACAGCTAACTGGGATCGACCACCTGATTCTGCATAAATGGGGCTTTCCGTAGGGGGACAAATTGTGCCTCGTGCCGATCGTATGGCTGTGAACTGCGCAGCCCTCGCCTGACCTCAGTTGCGCGTCAAATCTCTCCTCCCCATCCACCAATCCGCCTGTTACCATCATGTCGCTGAAGCCAAAGGCTCGTGCTCTCCTTGCCACGGGAAGTAACGTGGCAGTCCCAGTTCTCACCGCCATCCGTGCTACGTCCAATGTGCTCCCTCCTTTATATGCTGCCGCCGGGGCGCACTCTTCATCCTCGTGGAGGTCAAAGTTTGTAATATTTTTACTGGGTCAGGAACGAGAGCTGACGGTCTGCATTGTGTAGAAGTTCAATGAGAATAAGGAAGATTGGGAGCATTTTGGAAACTACATCGCTGACGCCGTGGCCAGGGTAGCAGCAGCCATGGATTCATATGATGCGTCCAGCGAAGAGGTCAAGCCATGGGTGGAAAACATCACGAAACTGGACAAGTAAGTGGCATTTTCTTTAAACCTTGCCGTCGTACTAGTATAACATGGGTATTTCCTAGGGCATTGGAGAGCATTAAAACCGAAATCGTTCGTCTACACAGAAAGATGGAAAAGCGATCCGCCGTCCGTAATTTCTTCTCTCACATGAAGAAACCCGGAAGGATCGATGATTTAAAGAAAGTGTTTAACGATGTCTTGGCATTGTTCCAGGTAAATTATGCTTGATCCTCGCACGATGTTGCCACCCTAACCTCATCGCAGCTGGGAACGAACCTGACGATTGGCGCAATAGCAATCAATCAAGATCGGTTGACTCGTGGAGTAGAGAATTCTTCTTTCCTTAGTGAACTTAAATGCCCCGTTATTGCCCACCACGATTCAACTCAGGCGTGCCTGGAAGGCACCAGGACCGGCCTGATTGATCGTATTATGACTTGGTGCCGTAATACGGGAGACAGCGAGAAACGTGTATTGCTGCTGACGGCAGTGGCCGGTGCCGGCAAAACATCCGTTGCGCACTCGGTCGCAGACGAGTGCGCAAGAGATGGGGAATTACTACTTAGTTTCTTTTTCAGGGCAGGAGAGCAATCGCGGCCGGATCATCTGTTCAGCGGCATGGCTCGATCGCTGGCAGCACACGACCCAGCATATCGTTCCTACGTCGTGTCCCTCATTCAGAAAGATCCAACTCTTCCAACTGCCCCGTTCCCCATGCAATTCAAAAAATTATTAGCTGAGCCTCTCCGTCTGGTAGCCCCACTTCCCCATCGTCCTATCGTAATCATCATTGATGCCTTGGATGAATGCGAGAAAGAAGCATTCGAGTACCTTGCCGATATACTTCGAGAACATGTGCCCAAATTACCCTCCAACTTCAAATTCTTTCTAACCTCGAGGCAATTCGACCTTGTTGATCGCTTTCTTCCTTCTGATTCTCCTATTGAGCGCCTCAGCATCAATCTCTCGGACGACGCTAACATGGAGGACTGCAAGGTCTACATCCGGATGCAGCTACGCAAGCTGAAAGATGCACATCCCCATTTGAGGGAAGAGGAGCTCTGGGAGGAGGATAAATTGATGCAAGATATTTTGGAACGGGCAGGTGGGTTGTTCATATGGGTCAGTACAGTGTTCCGCTACATGAGGGGGGCTAGTCCTCCCATGAAGGTGCTAGAGAAGCTGCTCGATGCTACTGCGGACCGATCAAAGGCTCCCGCCGAGGGGAAGATGGATAACCTGTATACAAGTATTTTGGAGAAGTGTGACTGGGAGAACGACGACTTTGTGCATGACTACCCGATTGTGATGGGAGCAATATTGATCGTGCAACAACCACTAACTGTTGAAGCTTGGGATGTCGTTCTGTCTCCGTTCCTGGAGTGTCCGATCCGGTATACACTAGCTGAGCTCTCCCCCCTAATTTCAGGAGTTGGGGTTCCTGACATGCCGATTCGTATTCTGCATCAATCATTCCGTGATTTTCTCCTGGAGCGAGTCAGTCCACAATCATCCACGCTTTATCGTTTTGCAGTGGATGCGAGGAGGGAGAATGACAGAGTCTCCCTGCGCTGTGTCGAAATTCTGAATGAGGATCTCTCCTCTCTGGAGGGTTTAGGGTTGGTCGAACATTTGTCTCAAAAGGCTCAGCTGGCCCCTATTCTGCAGGGAACGCTGTCGGAACAGTCCCATTATGCATGTCAGCATATCGTATATCACCTCAACCAAGTCCAAGAGCCGCCAGAGATGCTCACTCGGTTAGTTTACACATTTCTTGATCAGCAAATAGTGCATTGGGTGGAAGTCTGTGTGAGGATGGGAGGGTATATTAGTGTATCATCATTCCCCGAGTGGGCCAAGGTATGAAATATCAATAGCATTCATCCGACGTCTCATTCAGTCTCGTATTCCTTCAGTTAAGCGTTGATCGGACTTCAGCCAAAGCCATTCACACATTGGTCAAAGTGTTTGGTGATCTGCGCAGAAATCTCGTTCTTTTTAAGATCGCAGGAAGCATATGAGTTGGCGAATGACTCTGTTACACTCTGTCGTTGCCTTATGTCTGTGGACTCTGAAACCTACGCCGTGGATATGGCTCGGTCACTCGGAGGTCTAGACGCATCGCTCACCAACCTTGGACGTTATTCCGAGGCGCGTCGTCCGTGTGAGGAAAGTGTCAAACTGTGGCGGGAGCTGGTCGCTATTCATCCGACATCATACACCCTAGATTTAGCCGGAGCGTTCAGGTGTCTTTATGTGTCATTCTACTTTCTCGCACAGCATTCCGAAGCACTCCCGGCGATCGAAGAAAGTGTCAAACTTTGTCGTGAGGTAGTTGCCATCCAACCAACACACAAGCCGGAGTTGGCTCGAGGGCTCCGGAATCTTTGTATATCACTCAGCCGACTCAGGCGGCACTCCGAGGAGCTCCCGGTGATCGAAGAAAGCGTTGAGCTCTCACGTGAGCTGGTGACCGTTGATTCGGCCTTATACGCCCCGGAGTTAGCTCGAGGGCTTCGGATTCTTAGAGCATCACTCTCCCGTCTCGGACGGCATTCCGATGCACTCCTGGCGGCTGAAGAGTGTGTTAATCTCTGGCGTCAGCTAGTTGCCGACCATCCAATGTCATACACCCCGGATCTAGCCCGAGCGCTCTGGGAGCTCAGGGTATCACTCTCCAATCTCGGACGGCATTCTGAAGCGCTTCAAGCGATTGAAGAAAGTGTCAACCTTTGGCGCAAGCTCGTTGCCGACCACCCGGTATCATATACCCAAGATTTAGCTCTTGCGCTCCGAAATCTTTCTGTATCATTCGACAATCTCGAATTGTATTCCGAGGCGCTTCCTGTGATCGAAGAAAGCGTCAAACTCTGGCGTGAGCTGGCTGCCGTCCACCCGACCACGTATACCCCAGAATTGGCTCGAGCACTACGGAACCTTTTTGTGTCACTCGACAAACTCGGACGGCATTCCGACGCGGTCCCAGTGATTGAAGAAAGCGTTGAATTCTGGCGCCAGCTAGTTGTCGTCGATCCGATATTATACGCCCCAGGGTTGGCTGCAGCACTCGCGGACCTTGAAGCAACCCTTGACAATTTCGTGCGGCATTCTCAGGCTCGTGATCGAGAAGCTTAAATTCTTGTACCAGCAGTTGCCATTCACCCAATGTCACCCACTCTGGGGCAGTGTCCAAACTGGGCATGTCAAGTTTAATCATCATGTTGGATTATCTTTTCTGACTCTTCCACGCGATTTTTCGAACAATAACAACCTCAACTATGTATATGTTGTTATTTAATGGAGGTACGAGATTAAATTAGACTTGTGTGTAGTCGGTCTAAAAATGCGCTCTCTGTTTTTCTTCCGCATCTGGCACAATCCCCAGTGATGTTTCATCTTATGCACCGTACCTGCTGTTGGCCTTACGCATACTGTGCCTTCCGAGGTTGCAGTCATGCCGATTCAGGTTAATTGCCGCTGCATTCCTGGATTGATTTCTTCAGACGAATTCTGTACGTGTTGTGACCTCTGCTGAAGATGTTTTTTATTTCTTAAGTCTTATTCCCTTTGGCCTACAAGCTGTTTTTTGTTGAAGTTTTTTGTTTGGCTTCTTGTTTCCGGTAAGCTTTTCGGTCTCGCTGAGGGGAAGGTGTTGTGACCTTCGGTTACTCGGTGGGTGGGATCCTGATTGCTTACTCAGTGTTTTTTCCTAGGTTTCATTACCTTCGGTTGTTTCCTTGCTCTTTGTAACCTCTGCTCTTCTCCCTCTTGTTCCTCGTTATCCTGGTTTTTGTGTTAAATCTCATCGAAACCAGGGTTTCTTGCATCTAAAATCATCTGGGAAAAATTCATGTCCAGGGAGACTTCTGTTACGGAAGCACTCGGATTTTCAGGTGTAATGGACAAATCTACTGTGAAAAGCGTCCCAGCGGCAGGACCGAGTGCAGATAAACAGAAAGATCAAGAGGGAACTACGTCGATCTTCAATAAAGAACCCAAAGATGGACTTGAGAAAATTCTGAAAGAGGCATCATCAACCAAAGATTATCGAAAGGCACGAGGAGAAGTACTTGAACTTATTGAACAGTTCAATCTACACGACCAAAGGGAAGTTATCTTCTCATTCGTTGAACAACTCGAGAAAGGGAAAGGTGGAGCGAAGATTGATGACGAAGGAAAAGGGAAAGGACGAGACCCTGCCGAGAGACCCAGAAAGCGCAAGCTTGAAATTTGACCAAGTCAGGATGATGGGAGGAGATGAAAGCAACGGACTTTCTTCCAGGATGCCGGTCTCGACCTCTCTGATGGTGACGAACCAGGAGGGAGCACATCTGGGAGTTCCTCCGATTCCTCAGATGACGCAGATGTTACCTTCGCCGGCACCAAAAGGTCAGATCATCACAGGAATTACCGAAACCTTCCCCTGGCAACGCGAACCAATAAGATTCCTGGAGTCTCTCTGGGAAGCAGTCTTGCTCAACAAATACGTCGACTTCAATAAGGTCCATGCTATCCGAGTCGACAGAGCCCCCGAAGAAGAAGTTGTACATGAATCCGGACCCTTCAAGTTTATTTACGACCAAGCCGGATCTAAGAAGGCCATCCACGGACAAGGGGCATGGATCACAGCGTTTGACGCATATGCGGACGCAGTCATATACATCTACTCACACTGGAAAGGGGAATTACGTACCTACAAGGAATATATCCGTGACTTTTTCGAGAGCAGGGGACCCTACAAAGAACAATCTGTCATCGACTTCAACATCATGTTCCAAAAAAGACTGGCCAAGGATGCAAGACTTACCCTCGACGATGTTGAGTCATGCCACCCTTTCTTCTACGGAGGCAGAAGCGGAGGAAAGGGAGCGAAAGGAGCTTTTTGGAAGCAAGGTAAAGTCGACGGGGAAATTTGTAGACGTTTCAATGCAGGCATTCCCCACTACAATTGCCGATACCGACATGTATGCGACAAGTGTGAGCGAGAACACCGAAGGTCTGCTTGCCCTACAAAAGATGTCAAAAAGACAGAAAAGAATTGAAGAATGGAAGGCTGTGATAAGAAACCCGCGATATCTCAGGGGTTTCATTTGGGGAAAGGAAGATCCAATCACTCCTTCCATAACGTCCACACTTTTTCGGGAACCTCTTCCATCTGTTCCTGTTGATGACTTTGTTCACATTTTGGTATCCAAAACGATTGAGGAAAATCCAGATCTTTTCAAGATTGTAACACCTGTGAAACCGGATAGGCTTGACAAATTATTGCAGCATCACCCGAATCGCAAGCTGGTAGAGTCAGTGGTGTCAGGTTTTCGATCAGGTTTCTGGCCATGCGTGCAGCCGGGTTTACTGATTTTGTCGAAGAAGGGGCATGACAACCTGCATCAAGTGGAGGAAAAAGATGAGGAGAAAAAGATGTTTATGAGGACTCAACGTGATGTCGAGATGTTGTTAGGCCGTTATTCTTCATTGTTCGGCTCATCTTTGCTCCCAGGGATGGTTGTGCAGCCTTGTTTCGCAGTTCCTAAGCCAGGATCGTCCAAATTTCGTCTCGTCAACGATCACACCGCTGGTAGTTTTTCCTTGAATGCAGCGATTGCCCCGGTAGATGGGTCTTTCAGGCCTGACAATCTCCAAGATTTGGGAAAACAATTGCTTGCCTTGCACGCAAGTTTTGGTCGATCGCTGGCATGGTTGTTTAAGTCAGATGCAAGTTCGGCTTATAGACTTTTGCCATGCCATCCTAGATGGCAAACAAGACAGGCGACGTTAATCGATGGTGAATTTCATGTCGATCGATGTTGTGTTTTTGGGAACCGTGCCTCGGGCGCAATTTGGTGCACATTTTATGCGCTCATCCTTTGGATTGCCATTTATGAGAAAAGTATTCCTGACCTTCTACATTATGTTGATGACATTTTTTCTTTTGATGCCCAGGAAAGTCTTGAGCTCTATGCTCCTTATGACGATCAGTACCCGAGGAAGCAGGCTGCTCTACTCAGACTTTTCGATGAGCTCGGAATACCACACGAAAAGAGGAAACAGGAATTCAGAAAACAGCTTACTATAATAGGTCTCCACGTTTGCCTTGAGTCAATGACGATTTTGATGCCCGACGATAAACGAAGGTCTTTGATCGGAGATGTGGAATCATTTCTAGTTGGGAAACTTTGTCATCATCCACTGCGGGAATGGCAGCGGCTGTTAGGCTATTGTAACTGGGCGCTAAATGCTTACCCCCTCCTAAGACCCACACTTCAATCTTCGTATGCTAAGATATGGGGTAAAAAACTGGCCTTGGCTCCTATTCAGCTGAATAAGTCGGTCGTTCAGGATCTATCTTGGTTTATCCAATGGATCGCGAGTTCGCCAGGAGTCAACTTTTTGGGTGCCTGTTCATGGCAAGAACAAGATGCAGATCTAGTCTTCTTGACCGATGCTTCGAATGTTGGCCTGGCCTTTTGGTCCCCCACTCTGGACCTAGCGTTTGTTGTGTTGATCGAGGAGTCGGATCTCCGATTTGGGGACACCTTTTTCAACGAAGCTTTAGCAGTAGTCTTGGCAATCAAGTGGGCTGCTCACCTACCTGATAAACCATGACAAATCCTTTTATGAACAGATTCGATGAATACCGTGGATATCTTTCACTCTTTGGCAGCACAACCGAACTATGTGTTATTGTGTTTCAAGGTGGTCGAGACTATGATGGACTTCGGATTAGATGTGTGAGTGGTCCACATTCAGGGTGACAAAAATACCGTCGCAGATGCTTTATCACGTCAACTTTTCGATACTGCCCAACGTTTGCGTCCTGGGCTCAACATTGCTCTATTCAAACCCCAGCGGGAATCGCTGGGGGTCCTCCGCAAATGAATTCGCTCTTGAGTGTTAGGGCGCGTCAGCCCAAGCATGCCCCGTGGACAATGGATCGTCTTTGTAGTCAACAAGCAATTTATTTGTCAAATGCTCTGGATGCGTTGACAAGATCAGCATATCAATCCGGTATTAATTCGTACATCACCTTTTGTAACATCCATAACCGTGACATCGATCCAACTCCCGAAACGATCAGCTTTTTCATTTGTTACATGGCGAAGCAGACCAGGAGGTCTGGTAATCCTATATCCATCCACACGATTATCTCGTACCTATCGGGTATTGTTCATCATCTCCAACCTTTCTATCTGGGAGCTCAAGCCATCAGGAGGCACCTGCTCATTGTTGGGGTCCTTTGCGGTGCAGAACGGACAGATGGGGAACCAATCAGGCGGAAGTTACTGATTGAATCACAGCATCTCCATCTTCTAGTGGACCGTTACGCCATTTTGATGGAGTTTGACAATTGATTGTTCTTGGCGATTAGCTTCACCGCCTTCCACAGTCTTCTTCGAATTGGGGAGTTAGTTAGGCAGGTGACCAGCCTCTCTTTAAGAAGAGAGGCTGGTTTCACTTGATGGGTTACTGAATGTCGGGTCTACTGAATTGCAAGAAAAGGGTCTTACCCAAGGTTTTTCCGAGATGATGACATGAAGGAATTGCGTAACTCGAGGAGGGTTGTTTGTTTGTATTTACCTTTTGCCTCAGCACATATCTGATACATCACGACAAAAATCTCTAAAATCTCCATGTAAAGATTATTTTCTAAATCGCCAAATACTTACACTAATAATCCAATCCTACCACAACATAGCCATGCAAAATGAGAATGCAACACCCGGTAGCTTACCACAGCGGGGCTGACCACCTTCCACTAAGCGCAAAGTGTCAGCCTCGACTCATCCACATGTCACCATTGAGCTGCTCTCACCGTCCAAGAGGGTCAGAGTGAATGACCACTGATCATTGGATCCAACAATGCCCTCGATGAATTCTGGAACTTTCGGACTTGGCTTTGGAACTCAACAGTCACCACCCCCAGCAGCGTTCCCTACCCAAACCTCGGGCTCCTACACATGGTACCCTAAGTCTCCTTGGTCTATGATGTTGCCCAGTTCAGCTTCAGCACCTAACCTCATGTCCGACTATGGTGATCGGCCTATAACTATGTGTGAGGTCTGTGGAAGCTCGAGGGTCAGTCGCTCAACCCGAGCCGAACAACATAGAAAGCAGCACCTAGCCAGAAAAGTGGAGGTTGTCTTTGAAGTCTTGCGTGCTCAGCAGCTCACAATTGGGGACTTCTTGATGAACATCGTGGACCAGGATGAGCTGCTCAAGAAGGACATGAGCCCTTCCACAAGGACCGAGATAATGTGCTTCTGTCAGGGCACACCCGCCTGACCCGGGTCCACCCGGACCCACCCGGCCACACCACACCCGCTCCCCGCTGTCCATCCCTCTCTTCCCCTTTCTTTTCCCTCTTCCTTCTCCTTTCTTTATTTCATTCTTCTCATCTTCCTCTTCCTGTTTATTTCCTTCTATCTACATGGACCATCTTCCTTTGTATTGATGTACTATTGACCCGTCTGGCCCACACACCCCGGATGGCTTCCTGCTGTGCCCAGCACGTGCGCATGCAGTGGATGCTCTCGGGATCCCCCACGGGGACACCCAGATGCCTGCGGCTGTCTCTGAGGATGATGTGGCACTCGTCATGTGACTCAAGCCACATGTACATAAATGTACCTGAAGTGGGAACCGAAGAAGTAACCTTCTTCTCACATTCTCCACTTCAGGTAAGTAGTATAGTTTTCCCCTTTAATAATAATAACACATTCTCCACTTCAGTCTGAGTGGCCAGGGACCATTGTCCCGGATCGGGCCTGCCAGTACGCATGCCCGCTCCACACCCCGCGACGGCCTCAGTGCCGGGCATTACCCCCGGGCCCTCTCTACCCCGGACGCGTCCCTGACAGCTTCCTGCAAGGCCAGAGGAAGTCAAACTGACCGTTAGATTTTGTACGCGTGATTACCAAACACCCAATGGCTCGCTATGGAAGAAAGGACAGGCCAACACATAGTGTACCTTCATATGGAATCCCAGTGAAGTTCCCCCAGTCCAAGGAGAATGCGAATGTGCCATGTGTCAGGAAGTTGCAAGTATTTACCGATAGCTCATTTGAGGCACTCCAGAAGTATTTTGTTGAGCAAGTTATCGGGTGTGTTCAGTGGGAGACCGGACAGCTACAAAGGGAGCTGTCATTACGCAACCTGGACAATGAGAAGCAAGGCTTCTCATGGGAGACCATAAACGAGTTCTCTGTGGAGGAGACACAGTGGGTGATGATGACAAGAGTGCCAGTCATTTGGACAATATTAACAACAATTGCTGTTGGCGATGAGAGGGCGATGTCGCTGAAGGGACATGCAGCAAGTGGGAAGAGAGTGTCAGAGACCAGGTTGAGACGAAGGAAAGTCTCCGTGGCGGAGGGCTTCGGCCTCAGTGACTTATGCCAAGAGCGCTGTGCCTAGTAACATGTCCGTGCCCTAACTTACTAACTGGCAACCAGAACTGAAGGGGGTTAACTCTAGTCGATTTTATTGCTGAAGTGTAACCTATGTACAAGTTGGATATATATATGGTTACAGCGAAGATGGGTCCGCAAATGGCGGAGCGGAGCTAACGGGGTTAAACATTAGCCGACTGAATATTACCGACGAGTCGGGCTACAGGGTTAACGGAAAGGCAGGCAATAACCCAGAAACGGAAAGGAGGGATAGGCCCGAAGGTGGACTCTGCAGGGCAGGCGAGTGTATTGCTTAGCGGAGGCGGGAGTGCGCTAGCAGATGTCGGAGCTGTCCGGAACTCTTCGGGGCTCCGTACTTAGGGAGGCATAGGTAATTGAAAGGAGGGGGTGGTGACCATCGAGGGGTACCGAGGGGATTGCGGAATACGGGAGCTCTGAGGTTAGTGAAGAAGGAGCGGAGGTAGACCGGAGGGATCAGAGGTACCGGAAGTCATTGGCCGGGGATGGATATGACAGAGAGATGGGAAAGGTTCAAATCATGTCCGAGATCCATACCTTGTGAGTTCGATTTCATGATGACAAAATAAAATAATGGATCCACACACATTTGTTATTTTCCTAGGGTTGTACCATTGCACTATGTATGATGTTGAGCTTTGGGAATCAGCGAATCAATCGCATTCAATCGATTCTCAGCATGTTGATGTTTGTGACGAACACCAACCAAACAACAATTTCAATTTTGAGTCGAATTGGTCTCATTGTTGCACACAGTACGACTCACAATCGACTTCACATGGCAGCTGAGGGTGCATCGGCAAATCTAAAAGCACTAGGGCACCAACTGGTGGAAAACAAAGTTTCAGTTCATCTGGTCTACGACAATCTCAATCAGTACCATCGTTTATGGCGCCCATCACTCGACAGTTGCACATCACTAGAAAGTGGGACCGCTGCGACACTCATTATCCAGCATGATGTGGCAGAGGGGGCCTTTGACGGGATTGAATATGAACGACGGCGAGCCTCAGTCCGAAGGGAACAAATCACTTACGAGAAGATCTGGGGTGACATCCAATTTGACCATCTAGCCGCAATTGGAGCCACCAATATCCTTCAGATCCTTCTTGAATATCTTCCTGGCCTCGAACGACATCGCGGCGCTGTTCAACATTTGTATAGCCATCGTTTTGCGAAGCATCCTGTCAAGATTCAGAAGACCGAGTATTACCCAATGGAGACCAGTTCTTATGATGAAGTGCAAAATATTGGGAATCGTGAAGTTCTAAAAGACCTCTTGGTGCGCCAACTTGGAGTCAAGCCAGAGGAGTTGGATGGCCAGATGATTTCCATATCCGGCGATTGCTCAATGGCTGCAAAGCTCCGTTCCCTCAAGCGACATACATCTTGTGGACTTTCCTGGTTTACTTCTCAGAGATTTGCACTTGTATTGACGGAATTATGGCACATGAGGTGGGCTTTCATCAAAGGCATCTTCCGGCTTCACTGGGCTCCAAGCACCATGAAGGGTGACTCCGGTTTGCACATCGCTGCGGAAAAACTCAGATGCAAACTCAACTCCAGTGACCCGGAGTTTTATCCAGCTGAAAGGCTTGTAGAAACTGTCCTTGCAACAATGACTCTTCATTATGCAAGGTATGATCCAGCTATTGTCAATCACTCTGACGTGTCAACCCCTTTTCTTTCTACAGAGCCGTCCTTCGTCAGAAAGAATCATCCCTCTTCATTTCCAACCTCAATCGCCCACCACACCTAATAGAAGAGCTTAATCTCCATTTGTCCCCTGGCCGCTTTCTCTGGACTTGTACCTTTGATGAGCTACATGATGTGGCCCAAACCATTTTTGCAACATTTGCATCGACACAATCCGCTTACATGGCACTTCATCAGGACACACAACATTCCATCCAATATTTCCAATGACACATCGATCCTGCACGCGATTCCCTCTACCCAATACCACAGGAGCTGAATGCTGTGGTGAGCTTGAGCCCTGACGACTCAGATGACAGCAGCGATGCTGATCATAATGGTGAGGATGGAGTATCATCTTTACCAGCTGGTCAGAGTCAACATCGCAGCAAGGACCACGAGAATCTGGATTGCTTTGATGATAGTGCCCCCCTAGATTCCCCGAACACAAACACGGGTGGTGATGTCCTCCTGTTCAACAACATACTTCTCTACTGGGACATGCTACTATACTGGGAATTTAGATCAAGTATAAAAGATAGTGACATTGGTCGAACTTTTGAGGTCATTAAGGTGCATTGCATTGACCTTTCCTCATCTTTTCTATCCTTGATATATAATTAACAGTGGCTTTGTGTCTGGTTCTTTGGGGCTGGTGCGACAAATTATGGTCAAGAGTTACTGCACCAAGCCCTCGATTTATGGTTTCATTTCACCGAAAAGATGAAGGATGCGGTTTTCAACAACTATGTCATTAGTCCATCGGGCAGAGGTGAGGGTTACGAACGAGATTTACTTCAAGAACACAACAACTTCTGGCTCAAGTGGGTCTTCAATGGTCGCCTGGCAAAATTCGATTCTAGTTTTCTACGTGAGGCTGTTGCGCTGAACATTGTGCCACTGAAAGAACTTGGGCAGACAATCTTGCAAAAATTTGGCCTCAGCAACATATATTCTGGGCGCTCGAAGGCCAATATCCAGACAGACATCAACTACCTTGGCCACTCCTATCTTACACAGCAACACCATATTTACCAACCTGGCCGAGTCCAGTTGTTTTTGGCAATGGACGGTATTGAGCAAGGAACTGCAAAGCTCGAAGAGGGAGCATTGCAAAAGTTTCTAGATAAGCACTTTTATCAAAAATGATTGTAAATATACAGAATCTATTTGATGATATTTCACTGTTTTGCATCTAGACTATACCTTGCACGCTCAGTGAGTTTGATCATGCGCGGCCCTGTCACCATTTCCACCATTGATATATCTCGACTCGCATAGACTTGCGGTGTTTCTCCCTCTGTTCCTTTGCCTTTTCCCCCCTGCCGTTCTGCAGCACCACCTTTCCCTGCTGCTTTCTTGGCCTTGTTTGTCAACTCGCGCCTCTGGTTTTGTGCTGCATACTGGTCATTCAACTTCTGGATAAGATCCCACAGTGTCTCCTGCTGGGACAGTGTCATGTGTGAGACCGTATTCATGCCTGCCAAGTAATTGGACAGCTTTGGCTCCATCATGAAGGAATGTAGCCGTTCAGTCAGTTTTTTGACCTCCCCGTTACTCATGATATGACCTGGGGTAAAATTTTGTTGCAGTGATTCAGGAAGCATGAACCAAGCACTGTGTCGCCAGGCAGTAAGCCGGGCCAGTGCGTCAGCTTTCTGTTCTTTGGAGAGCTCTTGAAAATTTTTCGGACGGTGTAGGTGGGCACAGCCGGTACCATGCAAACAAGCCGATTATCGCGATTCTACCACCCATGTCAAGCACCCCACTCCCTAAACACATCTACCACTGTTTCAGATACCCCTTCCACGTTTTCCATATTTTTCCGATTTTTTCAAGCCATTCCTGACCACGGACAACCATCAGTTTCCAAATTGGGTAACTGTCACCCGCATATTCCGCCGCTTCCTCCATATCTCCATCAATTCTCCACCGATCCGGACGAATTTGGTATCGTTGGAAAGCCCTTGTTAACACGAGTCGAACGATGTTACGAGTGACGCATTTGGTTCAGCGGTTGTTCCGATCGCCATGGTTCTTTATTTCCTTAACAACATCAATATTGCTTTGATATTGCTTTTTTCTTAAGTGTTCCTTGTGGATCTGTTGCCGTCATAGACCCGTCGGATCATTCGGATTTCCACGCGTATTTCTTTCATATTTATAGTTACCCTCTTTCCTGTATTTACAAAAAGGACTCCCCCAACAGAGAGGTGCTCCCAACAAGAACATGAAGTTCTAGCAAAGTTTACCAGCGCCCAGAGCGGCGAATACGAAGCCAAAGAGGCTCAAGACATAGTGCAGGGACAGAGTTCCCATCAGTTTGATTTCTAGTGAGATTTACGAGATTTATCATTTTTATCACATCGCACCCGGACCATTTCTCCTCCCCTCCTCATCATCCAGACCTCCCCTGAGCATTCCCAACCCTAGGCCCCCTCTCTTTCTCGTTAGGGTGGTAGATCCCTTGCCCCCTTACAACGGTCTTTTGGTAGAGGCAGCATTGTCACTTTTGAGTTGGTTTTCCTGCATGCGCTTTCGGTGATGTAACTTTTCACCAGACTCTCATCACAATAGAGAGTATCAGGCTGACACGTTCCACAGCAGATAGCTGGCTTGCTGAATGCATCACCAAAATATGCACAGAAGACAGATCTTTGGCAGCCATCAGGAGGTGGATTAAAGAATGCGACGAGGCCTGGTGCAACCTTGGCCTGGTACTCCCGATGTGCAGCAACTTGTGTTTGTGTTAGAGGCTTCCATTTTACTGATCCGTCAACATAGGTCCCATCCTTGGTCGATCCATCACACATCTCTGCTGTAATCTTTAGATCGTCAGGCCCATAAACAACAAACATCCCACCACTACCATCCCAACTCACCCGACCTGCCCACTGTGTCATCTCCTCGAAAGACTTTGGCAAGTCTACACACACCACATGCTGAACAGGTAGATTGAGTCCCACATTGGCGCAAATGGTTGCAACAATATAATGGATTGTTCCAGCCATCAGCCACAACTGTATCTTGCTGCGATCCTCCTTGTGAAGTTCAGCATGGAATGGCCAGATGAGATCAGGTATGTCAATCTCCTCTGGTGCGACTTTGTGTAGTTCACGTATTAGCCATTCGCTGAATGTTGTTGTTTTCTCCACCGAGTTAATGGCGAATATTGTTGGCATGAGATCGGATGGTGACTCGAGTTTTTGTGGGATAGCCCATGCGAAATCAGGAAATTCGAGTCCCTCGACAGAATGGTAACGTATACGGGCACAATATTTAAGGTCAGCCCGATCTACTGGAAGTCTGACATCATTGAAGCTCATCCCATGGAAACCCAGCGTGAACTGAATTTCCAACCAAGCCTTCTGATTCACGGAACCAGACATGGCCAAGAATGGGACATTGGATCCAATGCGTGAGCGTACTTCTGCCAAAACTGTCAGGGCCTGGCCTCTGTCCGGGGGCAGCCCTACCTCAGAACTGGACACTTGCGGTGTCCCAGGCAGCCAAGTGCTGGATCCTACCCCAAGCTCCTCAAACTCACTAAGCGGGGATTGAGTTGTCATGTATTATGGAAGGTAGCTACAACTTGCCTAAGCAGGGATTGAGTTGAGAAGAAGGGTAAGTTTCCCTATTCCCCGCTTGGCTACTATAAAAGGGAAATGTACTATACAGTTTGTAACGTGACTAAGGGTAGGAGCTGAGCATGTTCCCGCGATGTGGAAAAGGTGTCACATGGGTTAAGGCGAGTTGCTGGCCTTGACCCACGTGATTTTTCCTGCGGGTTCGCGTGTGGGCTGTAGTTGCGAAAGGTGTGTGAAGATGGGAGGATCAGGGAAGTGGGGGGAGGTCAGGGAAGGTGGTTCTGGGGTTGTATGGTCAGGTGTGGTTGCCCTGACAAAAACTCTATATTTTGGTCAAAATTTATCCCAGTCCTTCACTAGGTGAACCTCATCTATTGCACAGAACCCTAATGTTTTCTGAAACTTGGGCATGTGAAGGAGTTTGGCAGCCATGCTTTCGGTAAGCATTTCAGGACTCATTCCTATCACATCCCACTGAAGATTCTGCACCTCATCCCACAGGTTTCGTTGATTTAATGCAAAGGCCTCGGCAATGGTCTCCACATTGATTGCCAAAAATCGAATATTCTCACTCCTTGCATTTGTCTCCTGGACTGGAATTTAGATGGTTTGTTCACGACTGCCCTGTAGATGTCATCCTTACCTGATCCGCCATCAATTCTACAGTGGGATAGACAATGATGGCGATGTGTGGCCTTTTCAATATCCGTTGTGCAATCACCAGAACCATAGTCAACATCGATTTCCCGCTCCCTGTGCGTGATGTGAGAAACACATCCTTGTTCTGGCACAAGTGTATTGCATTTTCTACCTGCCATGGATGTGGCTCCACATGAAACCAGTTACGAAAAATTGCAGTCATCCATGGGATAGTCTCTGGTGTATATTCCTCCAATATTTTGCCAAGTTGCTCGATTGCATGTTTATACTGTGAATTTGGTTTGTCCCACAGTGTCTCATAGAAAATCGGTGGAGCAGCCATTGAGCAGAATCTGTCAGTGCATCGGGCAAAAGTTCAGGTGATTCAATCCAAAAGAGGCCAAAGGCACTTGCCGAATATATTGCTTAGTCATCTACTCACATAACCATGCTTATGTAACTGGACCCTTTTACAACAATTCAGTAGACCCTCAATTCAGTAACCCATCAAGTGAAATAAGACTAGGAGTTAGTAGTCCTGGACAATACTTCAAAATTGAACTTTCGGAAACTTATCCTACGCCGCTCTGTGGAGTTTATTCGACGTGACGCCATAAATACATACCAATTCTTACTGCCTACACATAAGACCGATCCTCGTTTTCACGGGAGTCTCGTAGTCATCCAGTCTCGACTGTTCCCACTGGACCTGCTCTATTTTTTCAAACAATACGTTCAGAGTCGTGACGCGCTCTTTCCTTTTTTCCCTCATCTTTGGATTCGTGGCGATGGCTCTTTACCATCCCGATCCTGGTTCTTGCGGAAGCTACATGCTGTTCTTCCCAAGGATTTCTCCGGTCATTCTTTCCGTTCCGGAGGGGCTACACACTTAGCTTCGCAACGCGTGCCTGAGTCTACGATCCAAGCACTCAGGCGCTGGTCGTCTGAGGCGTGGCGCTCTTACATTCGGAAGAACCCAGTGCTTTTGTGTGCGCGGGCTTCTAACGCTACGTCTCTGTTCGATTCTTCTTAACCTCTTTGTCTTTTACTCCCCTTTCTTTTCACCACCATCCCTCCCCACCTCCTTTCTTCTACCTGGTAACCAGGTCGTCTTCAAATTCAAGAGGTTCTGGCATTAGCCGGGACTGTTGCCACGCTATCTCGTTGCGTCTCCTCCGGCGTGCACACAAGTAGTCATCTCATCAAATCCCCTCATTAACACGTCATCATCATTATCAAATCACAATTGCCAACCAATCAGAACCAATCACAACTCTACTCTTCGTCACAAATCCTCAATAGATGGCATCCTCACCGTCATCAAAGAGGAAGGCGTCTCTGGCCTGTACAAAGGCATGGGAAGTAAGCTCGTGCAGTCCGTTTTAACCGCCGAAATTCTCTTTGCAGGCCAAAAGAGGATGTATGAAACCACCAGAGCGGTGAGTGCTTTCCACCCGTTTCGGATTTTTTCTCTAGTTAGGGCTCCAAATGACCTGTTGCTACCATTAGGCATTGACCTCCACACCTGTGAAGCGGTGAACCCCTCCAACCTATGCTAAACATTACTTGATAGATGTGCAGTATCTAAATCGGTTCATCACTACATTTTTCATATTTCCGGACGATTGACGCCGACGGCAACTGATAATCCTGACTGAATGTATTGTCAAGGATCGGCAGCTGGCATCGACTCTATAGTTATATGTAAATGCTTGTAATCTCGAAGGCTATGCTGATATGGTGCGGCTTTAGATGAATGTGGCAGTGCCTTCCGCAGCCATCATTCTACGATTGTGCTTGTTGGCGTGAGCAGGCACTTGTTCTATCAATTTTGTTATGCCAGGGATCGGGCGACAATCTCACTTCTTTCGTAATCTTCGATCTGAAACTCGAACTCGATGTCAGCTACACGGCAACTTGCCAGCGCCAGTTTAGACTGGTCCCGCGAGCTCAACGTGGCGGAGTGGGCCCCTTGCGCATTGTGCACCGCGCTTTGACAACCAGACTTGATTTCACAAGGTTCCCTTCATCCTGACACCCTCGTGGCTTGACATGCTGTGGACTCTGAATTAATGATGCCAAGGAGTTGACACGCATCAATTTACTGTCTGTAACAGAATATTCAGCAGGGGATCGCTTCGCCCAACCCGTGTTCTCTCTGAGTTAACGTTTTAGCCAATTGATGCTCAAAGAGGACAATTGTCGATGGTGGGTGCACAACCACAAACGCCGATTACGCCCTCGTGTTCTTCCTCTAACCATCCCGTACGCGGGATCTAATAGTCTGTGGTCATGGTCTACCGAGTTCTATGATTCGACTCGCAGCACAGGTCTCTGATAAAGCGGTTTCACCTTTCGTCGCGAGTTGACCTGCCCCCATGTCCAAACGTTCACCGATGGGATGTGGGGCTGTGGGGATATTGTTCGTGTTGTTATGGGCACTCAGCGGGGGATACTCAAGCGGCGCTACATAACATTGTAACTGCGCAGCGGTACAAGTAGCTAAGGTAATAACAAGATATCAGTGAAAAGATGAGATGCGAATGAGTGCATATGTGGAACATAGTAGCGTAGCGCAACGTAACATATGGACAAAGGGTGTAATATTAATGACTAATATGAGTGATATGATATGATATGCGTACCGGTATGTCATTCATCCAACAGTTCGTGGATATATGGGCAGTCCCACCCACTGATTGGTTGTTACAGCTAAGGAGAAAATGGTTTGCTCTGTTCTTGCTTTGGGCCTCAGCGCACTGGCTACTCTTGCCTTTGTTGCTGGGGTTCCAACGTCGCCCAAGTCCCTCAAAGTTTCAATCGTCTCTTTTGCATCGACCATTGACAATGTCGATGAACTTACACTGCTAGTTACTGTGACCAACCCGACGTCTCAGGACATCAAGGTGATCAAGTATACAAGCATCCTCGACGAGTTACCTACTCGCTCGTTCATTGTCACTAAAGACGGAAAGAATGTTGATTTTAAAGGCATTTACGTACGTGTTGTATGCCTCTCCGTGTTGAGTAACCGCTAATTTTTACTCTCAGGTAAGGCCGCACATGTCCAGCGAGGATGCCTATATCACTATCCCTGCGGGAAAATCCATTTCCGCGAATCATTCGATTGGTGAATTGTATGACTTCGAATCGGCGGGGGTGGGGACATTCTCGTTTAAGCCTCTCACCAACTTCCAAGTGCGCGACTCAAACTTGAAGGCCGAGCTCAACTCCCCAGAACTCCGAGTGCGCATCAATAAAAGAGTCAACAGTAAGAAGGGGAGCCACCAGAAGAGATTATCTATTCCCAACTGCCCCAACAATGGTACGAGGCAAAACTTCATCAATGACACCTTATCCGAGGCTCGTGCGCTTGCTGGTGGCGCGGCTACAACTATTCTGACCCACCCAAATTCGAGCCAATTCGAGAGGTACTTTGGGGCCAACCCTGATAAGCCAGTTTGGTATCTCTTCGACAGAATCGCACGTGATTACAACAGCTCTGTCAATGGAATCCACACGTATGTGCCATCAACTAGTGGCAAATCCTTCAATTCTCTAATGAATGTGGAACACTTCCAAAGTTTGTCCTGCACTGACCCATTCAAGGCCTGTAAGGGTGGAGTTCTCTCGTATACGTTCCTGTCTAGTGTCAATGGAACCACAGTGGGCAGCGATGTTAGTTCCAACTCATTCTATTTGGTTTTGCGCTCAACGCTTATGGTCCAATGATTAGGTTTTCTTCTGCGATGCGTTCTTCAGTTTCTTGCCAACGAATGCTGTTTGCAGTGGAGGGGCCTTCAACAATACTCGAGGCAATGTTTTATTGCACGACGTACGTTAACTAAAGTTCACACAAAACAAAGTACTCAATAGGAAGAACCTTAGTTCATTCGAGGCATTGGGGAGACTGAGGACATTATTCGTGGCTGTTCGGCCTCTGCAGATCTTCCAGACTCAGACAAAGTGAAGAATGCGGATAACTATGTGGTGAGTTCGCCACCGCCACCCCGCTTTACAGAACCTAGGTTAAATAAATCGTTGCAGTGTATGGCACATCAGATCAAAGTGGATTACTGCAATCAATCTGTTCCGTTGAGCCATTGACAGGACAAGTATTGGGGTTGGCTTACTAATTACATTGCGTGTATTCTTCTTTCCACCTTGTATCGTATCGCGTCCCCAGTTGAATGGTGGATCAATAACAATTCAAACTGTACTACACTTCCAGGCATTTGAGCACTGATAGCAACATGTCCTCCATGAGCCACGGCAACATGGGAGATATAAGACGAAATGGAGGACTAGCGATGTTGTCGCTCAGTCCGCTATGCGTGAACCAGAAATGTGTTGAAATAATCACCGGCCTAGCGATGTTGTCCCTGGTGTACAAAAAAGGAAGGGGAAAACTTAGACTCACCTCAGTCCGCTATGCGTGAACTGAGTAAAAGTCGTAAGGTCCAAAAAATTGGTGTGTTATAGTCAGGCGCTATGAATGCGCACTGACTTTAGCAACAACTGACCCAAAAAAGTAAGTCTTAGCGCCGCAAGACTTAACACCAACAACGTGAGTTGGCCTCAGCGTACGCTTGACTCCCAAGAAATCTAACAGGAGAGGCAGTCAGTTTCTTGGCATTCGCTCAAAGCCCTGGAGTGAAAAGGGAAGCCGGTGTTATGGAATGACCTTGTGGCGGATGTGGGGTCTCGTGAAAGTCGGCCGCTCCAACTTCTGACGGCACTGCTTTAATTCATTGCCTTATACCGCATCGGTCACGATGGATTCCTCAAGCGTTTCTGAGTGTCCGGTCAGACTAAGAGCAGGCCCTTTCCATCCCTTGGTTCGGGGGGAGATGGAATCGACCGGGGAGTATGACGTTTGAAGTAAACCTAACAACCCCCCCTTAGTAGAACGGATAAAAGTCACATGCACAGGCACGTGCGCTGAAAAATTTCTCGAAAATCATAAAATTAGTTCCGCAAATCTGATTCCACATTTTCCATATTTGTAATGTTTTTAGAAGCATATTTACAAATTAAATCCAGGGATAGTGTTAGCGGTGTCTCGGCCTAATGGCTAATTCATAATTAGCCCTCATTCTTGGCTTGGTTGGGTGACAGTTTGACTCATGGCTATGGCTATCTTTTTTTTTCTTTCTTTTCTTGTTGAAGTCACGAGTCACCGGAACCTTCCGGGGCATTTTTAAATTTAATGGAGGCACGAGATTAAATATGACTTGTGTGCACCGGCCTCAGCGCCTCAGTTTTCTTCTGGGTATCCACCGTGCCCCTTTGCTAGGTCAAGTCCTCGTCTGTACGCAATATTCATTGCTTTATGCCTTTAGACTGTTCATCCGCAATGTTCAGTTTTTCTTAGTTGTCTGGTATGCAATTGTGTCCATGTTTCTGATACTCTGCTGCTTGATCGGTACGTTGGTGGATTTTCTTTCTCTTTACACGCGTCCGCTGTACGCTTCAGCCTCCGTGCCTTCTTTCTTTTATGCGCGCCCGCTGAGCGCTTCGGCCTCCATGCCTTCTCTTCTGCGTCCGCGGTACGCTTTGGCTTCTCAGCCACCACCTCTCGCGTCCACTGCATGCTGTTGTTCTACAGTCTTTTACCCTTCTTGCGTCCGTGCACGCTGGAGTTTATTTCTTTTTTCTATGACTCTGTCATATTTTCTTCTAACTAATTCTCTTATTAGTTCTGGTTAGGGTGGTTGGTTCATGTTGAATATTCGGTCTTGCATTGGATAAGGCAGTTAGCCTTGGTTACCCTTTGCAAGTTGGATCCCGGATGTTTACGGTGTCTTTCATTTTTCGGCTCATGCCTTGTTTCTTGTAACTTCACTTCTTCTCTTTTGTTGGCGCTTCTTGCTGCTACTCTCTGTCTGTCTTCATCGTTACCCTCCACCTGCCCCATCGCCTCCTTTTTTTTGGGGGGGGGTTTTTGTATCTACCGGCTCGCTTCAAATCAAGAGGCTTCGACATCTTGTCGGGGCCATTGCCATGCTATATGCCTTCGCCCATGCACAAGCTGGATTATTGTGGGAAATCACTAGAAAATTCCCGCTTAGTCTGTGCTTGCGTACGCACGCTTGCGCAGTTACTTATTTTATGTATATCATCATTCATAATAATTGTAATACATTTCATGTATGTATAAATACACACAGATGTGCATTGAGCAAAATCATCAGAAAGTTTTCTAGCTTACCTCTGTTCTTGCGAGTATAACCGCTGAAGTAAGCGGATTGCCTTATCAGGAATCCCTACATTACAACATTTCTTGGCACTGGGTGGGGTTGGGCCTAATTGGGTTGGTGGGTTGGGAATTGGGTCGGGAGTTGGGTTGGGGTTGGTGGCTGTGTATTGGGTATGTATTACTGTGGTATAACGACCATAAGTTCAGTCGCATGTCGCACGAAGGTTTTGAACTGAACTAAAAATAGTGTTGTCACATGTCGCAATGGAAATTTGAACTAATGAAGAAGGATCTGCAACTATATTATGTAGGCATATCAAGAAAAATTTTGGCCAGCCAATGCCGTCGTTACCACCCATCCCACCATCTATTTCGTGCCACTAAATCCACGGGTTTCCTCATCCTCTCCCCTTGGCGCACCGGCCCCGAAGGGATTGAATCCCTACTACAAGAAACCAAGCTGCCGTTGTAGTCATCATTGCTTGAACCATCACCAAGCGACAAATTAGAACCCATATCATTGGCATCCTCCTCAGGAAAGTCGTTATCCAGTTCATTCGCAAGCGTAGGTCGGGGCTGAATGGATTTCATGCCCGGTTGAAGCAGATGGCCCTCAGGAATCTCCCCAGTGAGAGCGTGGGCAAGTGCAGCGCTGAAGGGGACATCGGATGGTTCATTATCGTCAGATGAAAATGGAGGTTCATCTGATTGTATGCCATCTGTACGTTGAGTGCGGTTCAGTGGTACTTTGGGGACTGAGCGTGGTTTGGAAAACTCCGAAAAGAGTGGTGGATTGTCGATATGGAGGGTCCTCAGGATGTCCAGCATCCCTGGGCTAGTGAGACTTGAATGCGCTAGACTGAATTCGCCTGATCGTGCTTTCTCAAAGGCCTGAGAGGAAGAATAAGTATGAGCACGGGAGAATTCAGTTATGAGCTGTGCACCTTGAGTACAATGTGGGGTTTGTTTACTTCGTGAAATGCCTTGACAAGCGTACCAACCATCCGCCGTCGTAGTTCTGGGAGCCCTTTTTCAACTGTAACAACATTTTGGTTCTCTTCTAGCTGCTTGAGGATGTCATTAATTGTATCACGGCGGTGTTCTCGATTGATGGCGAGCTTGAACGTCTGTTGAATAACAAGGTCACAAGGCTGAAAGAGGCCTGTGCAGCCGCCTGGAACGTAATCGAGGATGATCCAATGAAATCGGCCATAAAGCCATTCCCGAAATTCCTGAGATGTGTGGACAGCCCACACATCAATTTGCCAGATACAATGATAGTCATCTGAGAGCGCGAGTTTCCTCTTCTGTCCCATAAAGTATGGGACCAAGATATCCTCAACATATTTCTTCATTGTTTCGGTGGTTGCCCAGTATGTGTCTGTATTAGAGACAACGAAGCAAAACCCCAATTCCAGGGCTTCATCATAGAAGGGAGATGATGGAGGGGGGAGTGATTTGGATGAGTGGCCACGGAAAACTGCCTGAAGTGGCAACATAACTCCATTTGCGGAGATTGCAACAGTCACTGTGATCGCGCGCTTCTCCTCCTTTCCAAAAACTGGCACTTGCTCTGCACCAATTTGATCCCATGTTGATGTCTTTGGGTCGGAGTAGATGACTTGTGTCTGGTCAGAATTGACACGGAGTTCGGCAGGTACGTTGTATGAGTGAATCGACCATGCTTGGCGAAGCAGGGAGGTACGAATAAGCACTTCAGCATCGCGTGGTACCTTCTGTGGAGCCCGGGTGGGCCTGTGGTAGCTCCAACCCATAACATTATGGAGAAACTTCAGGACCCATCCCTCAGTTGCACGAAAGACGCTTCCATCCTTGAACTTCGTCTCGAATATAGAAGGATTGTAGAACTGAATTGTTGCGATTATCAGACAGCGCGCATCACTGAGAGATATTGCAGCACCTATCTGTCGCAAGCACTTAAGTTTCTGAGTAATCTCAGCAGTTATCTCAGGGTGACCATCCTGAAGAGAGAAGAACCTGGTATGAGAGAACTGACGGAACACCCAGCGCATGTTACATACCAAAATTCCTTGCCGAGTTGTTTTCCCCCCAGGAGACTCTCGTTGTGCTGCCTTCCTTAAGGCATCATCATTCCACCCTTTCCCTTTGACAATATGTCTCCCAATCACTTGAGATGTGAGCTTCTTGAATAGCGAAGGTGATGTGCGTTGTGCCTGCTGTACAATCTTGGTCGGGCCCACCCAACAAACTTTCTCTGCTGCCTCTGTTAGAAGTAGAAAGAAAGTGGGGGCCCACCAATATGTCCGAACAGCTTCTTTGATCTCCTTTGTCTGTCGCCGTCCAGATTGGTGAGGGCCTTTCATCTTACTTGTCTCACGTTCCTTGATCATAAGTCCACGCTTAGGACGTGACACTTGAGCCACATTCAGTGGACCTGCGCTTTGAAATAGGCTTTGTGAGCTTGTCATGATATCTGGAGTGTCGATCCGGCACTGTTCATGATAACTTTAGTGAGAAAAAGAGAAAAGAACAGTCGGCTGGGGCAGCACACCTTTTTATCACCATTTTTTGGCACATCGGTGAGAGTTCTCTTCCGATTAGCACGTAAATTAGCTTGTCGCAACCGGTTGTATTCCCTTCGACTAGCTACAACTGTTGCTGCCCTTAACTTTGCAGCCTCAGCCCGTGATGCAGATGATTCATGTAACACTTCAAATTGTTGCTTTATCTCA